GCAGATCTAAAGTAAGTCCTTTGTAAAAATCCACAAGCTAGGAGAAGCTTGGTGGTACATTGATTCTTAATGAAGAAATTCTCAAAGAGGTCTCTTGAGGAGTGGATGTAGGTCAGTGAGCCGTACCACTATAAATCCTTGTGTCAAACTCTTCTTTCCTTTCCTTTCCTTTATTTTCTATGTACTTATTATTATCTGCTGTATTTAATCTCTTAGTCTTTGAAATCTATTTTCTAGCTAAATTTTTTTATTACCCAATTCACCTCCCTCTTGGATTGCTTTCCTGTATAACATATTCTATTTATCATACTTACCATATATCTATATTACTATATTATGCATTAGTATATTGTGTTATTGCCATATTGTGCATTACTATATTAGCTTCTCATTCTCCTATATAAAAGAGTTTTGTATTCACTCATATTCATTTATTGAAATATACAGCGTTATATTCTCTCTCTCTCTCTCTCTATCTCTCTCTCAATTTTTCTCTGTTCTCATAGCATGGTATCAGAGCCTAGGGTTTCCTCCTAGCCTCATTTTCTTCTTTACGTTGTTTTTGTCTCTCCGATAGACTGATTCATTCACATTGGTTTCTACAAATCTAGGCATTCTCCATTTCAATGATTGGACTATACTAGACTCTTCATCTCTTTAAGACGAATCCAATGCTAGGGAAATTTTCGGTAGTATTTGGTAGAGTTTTAGAATTATGATTTTATAATAGAGTTGTATTTTGAGTTTGTGAATTTTGAAATTATGATTTGAGTGTAGAAAATATGTTTGGTAATGAGTTTTAGAAAGAGTTTTGAAAAGAGTTTTAAATTGAATTTAAATTGAGTGATGTGATATATGATATTTGATACAAAAACTTATAACTCATAACCAAAAACGCAACCCAAAATTCTATTCAAAACTCATAAAAATTTTAAAAAAATTTCACAATTTTTTTTTTTTTGTAATTTAAAAATAACAGGTGAAAAAAAAAACTGTTCTGGTCAACCTACCAAACGACCGGTTAGCACAAATTTTTCCACCAAAGGAAGCAATATGGCACTATACTACTATACTAATAAAGGCATTTATGAAGTCAAAAGTGGATTTCAGATGGCCAAGACGGAGCTTCAGGCAGCAAGTACCTCATTAGCATCCTCCTCTGTCCAGCCCCCTAAAAGCTTCTGGAAGTTCATTTGGTCTTTAAAGGTCCCCCCGAAAATACAAATTTCTGGTGGCGTGTTTGTTATAGCAGACTAGTAACAAAAGAAAATTTGTTTCGACGGAAGTGTGCTCCCTCTCAAAGTTGTCCTTTGTGTCAAGAAAGTGCCGAGTCCATTGAGCACATTCTTTTCCATTGCAACTGGGTGAGAGCCGTTTAGTCTGGGTGTAATTTGGGGCTCCGAATTGGGCACGAACTGATTGCTTCAGCTCTCCAGTGGATTGTGTCTTTAATGTAGACTTGCTCCAATGATCTTGACAGAAAGGAAGTGGTGAGTAGAGTGGCCACGGTTGGTTGGTGTATGACCGGGTTTTTAATCATTGTTGTGTGGATCCACATCTGATTGTTCGACAGGCCTGTGCTTATTGGTGGGAAATTGAACATGCCCAGCACCACTCAGTAACAACTTCACAGCAAAATTCTTTAATAGGCCGCTCTCATCCCAGATGGATCCAACCCTTCCCTGGCTCTGTGAAGATTAACTGTGATACCAACTTCTCTACTCTTGATGGCAGAGCAGCAGTAGTTGTGATTCTAAGAGATAGCCAAGGAAAACTTGTTGA